TCACTGTTTCAATTATACCAACTCCACCCACTGAATGAATTACACCCACTGCTTCAACTCCACCCACTCTCTGAATTCCACCCACTATACAAATTTAACTCAGTTTCAATTATACCAACTCCACCCACTGAATGAATTACACCCACTGCTTCAACTCCACCCACTCTCTGAATTCCACCCACTATACAAATTTAACTCACCGTTTCAATTATACCAACTCCACCCACTGTATGAATTACACCCACTGCTTCAACTCCACCCACTCTCTGAATTCCACCCACTATACAAATTTAACTCACCGTTTCAATTATACCAACTCCACCCACTGTATGAATTCCACCCACTGCTTCAACTCCACCCACTCTCTGAATTCCACCCACTATACAAATTTAACTCACCATTTCACCTATACCCATTATACCAATTCCATCCACTGTATGAATTACACCACCCTTTCAGCCCAAACCACTCTACAAATATTATCCACCTATCCAGCTCCACTCACCTTCCTATTTCTGCCTACTATTTCAACTCAACCCCTAAACAATTTCCACCCACTGTATGAAGTCCACCCACCATATCAACCTCACTCACCATATCTATTATTGACTAAATTATTTCTTACCAATTGCTCTATTTTTGTCATATTTCTGCACCATCTTGAATTCTTTCTTAGTTGTTTCATCTTCACTGCTGCCTACTTCATCCATCACCATGAACTCTTCACCATCACTGAAATCTTCCTCTTCATCTTCAATCTCATCAACCGTCACCATGGTGCTGAAATCGACATACTTTCCAAAGTCACCTTCATCACCATCATGTTTGATACTTTCACACATCTTTTTGATATCTTTACCAATATCTACAAGTATTACTTTACAGTTTTTCATTTTGATAATCTCATCTTTATTTAGCTTCTGATGTTCCTTTCCGCTCTGAATGTCACATATTGAATCTTTCTCTTCATTTTGTTGTTTAGCTTTTGATGTGGCTTCTTTATTTTGTCTTTGATGTGTCGTATCATCTGTGCTAAGAATGTCACATATTGAATCCTTCTCTTCATTTTGTTTTTTGGTCTCTAATGTGAAATCGTTACTTTGACAATTCATTTCATCTGTGCTAGGAATGTCATGTGTTGGAATCTTCACTTCATCTGGTTGCTTGGCTTCTAATGTGGCTTCTTTTTTATCTTCATCCAGTGGTGTCAATTTACCCTGCCATGCCAAAGTCTTTTTCTCTGAATCACTTCTGCTGTCCTTATCCATTGCATCTTTTTTAGGAGTTGTAAAATTATCTGTACTCTGAGACTCTATTTCATCAGTTGTAGACTTTTTCACTTGAATCTTTCTTAAAACAGGATCACTGTTGTCTTTTCCAACACTGGTGTTCAAATCAAGATGTTCATCGTCAGTTTGTTTATTAGAATCATCAGTGGCATTTCTTTCCTCATCCGGTTCAGACATAAACTCATCAATTATTAGCAATTCATCCATATCACTCAGATCGATGTGCTCTTCAACAGTAGCAGGTGTTGTGTCTTCACCCAATTCTTTGTTGACATTAGAGACATCTAAAGTACTGGAACAAGTCCCAATAGACTTAGGTTTATTGGACTCTATTGCATTATCACTGGCTGATTCTGATTTTATTCGTTGTTCACTTTTAGAATCCTTGCCCAACTTGGGAACCTTGTATTTAGATAATTCGTCCTTCTTCCCTTCTGTAAAAAGTTTCCTTTTAATAACAGTTGTTTCTATCTCTTCTTTTTTCTCTATTACTACTGTCTCTTTTTTTACTTCATCAGGATCCATCTTTATTGTAGCTTTTACAAAGTCAAGTTGTTTAAGATCCTGCAGAGCAATGACCAGCTCTTCCAGAAGAAACTTGTTACCTTTATGTTTACTGTCAGCAATGTTGTGAATTTCATAAGGCTGCAAATAACAGAGAATTACACTATGGTGATATTGTGAAATCAGAATTACACTATGGTATTATTGTGAAATCAGAATTACACTATGGTGACATTGTGAAATCAGAATTACACTATGGTGATATTGTGAAATCAGAATTACACTATGGTATTATTGTGAAATCAGAATTACACTATGGTGTGACATTGTGAAATCAGAATTACACTATGGTGATATTGTGAAATCAGAATTACACTATGGTGACATTGTGATATCAGAATTACACTATGGTGTGACATTGTGAAATCAGAATTACACTATGGTGATATTGTGAAATCAGAATTACACTATGGTGATATTGTGAAATCAGAATTACACTATGGTATTATTGTGAAATCAGAATTACACTATGGTAATATTGTGAAATCAGAATTACACTATGGTAATATTGTGAAATCAGAATTACACTATGGTGACATTGTGAAATCAGAATTACACTATGGTGACATTGTGAAATCAGAATTACACTATGGTGATATTGTGAAATCAGAATTACACTATGGTGGCATTGTGATATCAGAATTACACTATGGTGATATTGTGAAATCAGAATTACACTATGGTGATATTGTGAAATCAGAATTACACTATGGTGGCATGCGAAATAAGGGTTACACTATGGTGGCATGCGAAATAAGGGTTACACTATGGTGGCATGCGAAATAAGGGTTACACTATGGTGGCATGGGAAATCAGGGTTACACTATGGTGGATGCAAAGAATATGAAAACAATGAAACAAACTACTTACACATCTTATAAGCTCTTTGCAAATGGAACAATACCATTTTGTACTTTCTGGTTTTTCAAAAAATAAATTATCCTCCTTTTCCTAGAAAATAGATAAAACAAGCCATGCATGGCACAGTCCCTGTTAGTTATCAAATTTAAGATAAATAGTTTTGTTTTTAGTAATATAGCTGGAATATAACCATGTCAGGAATATGATTTTTTAACATTGAAATGATTGACATTTGTATCTGATCGTCAAACAAGTACTTGTCCATATTGAGAGATATTGCTCTGGAACAGCATTCAAAATCAGCAATTTGGAATACATGTATATAACATGATGTATAACGAACATATAAAATTTGAATATAATCAGTCAAAGCATTTAAGAGATATAGCTCTAGAAGCCCAATCATTAAAACAAAATGGCCACCAGTCAGCCATTTTGAATCCAATCTGAAAAATAAAATGACGTGCATCAGAACCTGTAATGTCTAAGTTTGAACAAAATCCATCCATAAATGCAAGAAATGCTTGAGGATTTTTTTAGCACAAAAATAGCCATCATTTGGCCACTTTGAAAAGGACCGTCAAACCAATATATCTGTATATCTATGACATGATGTATAATGAATATTAAAAATTTGAACATAATCAGTCAAAACAAGTCAGACATATGGGTCTGGAAACCCATTCATTAAAACAAAATGACCACCAGACAGGCATTTTGAATCTGATCTGAAAAATAAAATGATGTGCATCAGGAACCCATAATGTCTAATGTATGTACCAAGTTTGAACGAAATCCATCCATAAATGCCAGAAATGCTCGATATTTGATGATTTTTTAGCACAAAAATGACCACCATTCGGCCATTTTGAATAGGATTGTCAACCCAATATACCTGTCTATCATGATGTATAATGAATATTTAATATTTGAATATAATCAGTGAAAGCATGTCAGACATATGGCACGAGAACCACATTCATTAAAACTAATCTGAAAAACAAATTGATGTGCATATGTATAATATTATGTTTGATGTATGTGTGAAGTTTGATTGTGATTGGTCCAGGCATGTCTAAGATACAGGTCCAGACGGACGCACGGAAGCACTGTCGCACAAGGGTCAAAAACATAAGTCCCCATTTTCGGACTGCGTTCGAACGGGGACTAATAAATTCCCCTAAAATGTTATCATGTGACAGTAAAAGAAACCTTTGCTATGCCTTGGTTGATAGTCACACTGTATTCATGCAGCAGTATTTTGTAGTATCCCTATATTATTAACCATATGCAGCAGTATTTTGTAGTATCCCTATATTATTAACCATATGCAGCAGTATTTTGTAGTATCCCTATATTATTAACCATATGCAGTGGTATTTTGTAGTATCCCTATATTATTAACCATATGCAGTGGTATTTTGTAGTATCCCTATATTATTAACCATATGCAGTGGTATTTTGTAGTATCCCTATATTATTAACCATATGCAGCAGTATTTTGTAGTATCCCTATATTATTAACCATATGCAGCAGTATTTTGTAGTATCCCTATATTATTAACCATATGCAGTGGTATTTTGTAGTACCGTTAAAGTCCTATTATAAACCGCGGTTTATATTACAATGTATCAATTTAAAAATTGGGATCAAAAGCTCAAGTTCGGGGTGCGGTTTCTATTACGTACATATTGCAATCACTAAATGGGCGTGGTCATTTTTTGTCCACAACACTTGCACAAAACAAACAATACACCGTACAATCTCTTGAATAGGCGTCGGGGAAGAGTGAAAGGCCTTATTTTGGTTCTAAAATAGGCGTTACGAAATGTTGAAAAATTACAATAAAACAAAAATTCTACATGATACAAAAAATACTCAGTATTTTTAATGTAATATGCATTTATTTTTTTTAATTTTCTTGGTAACGAAAAGTATATTCTAACAGAAGTTTCAAATAAAAACACGAATGCACTGCTTAGTAGCAAATGATCACATAACGATAGCTCGATCCGGCCATGCTGCTGGTCTCAAGTGAATAACTTACTTGTTTTCGAAGTGTTGATATTGGTGATTATTATTTAGTAGTGATTACAATAACGCACGAAAAATAAATTCGTTGAATTGTTATAAAATGCAAGTAAAATTCAACTTAGTTTCCCCGTAAGCGAATGATTTCAGTCACAGCCGATACGAT